CAACAATTTAATTTGTTTTCATCATGTAATTTTTCGAGCACAATTATTTTAGTAGTATTCAGAAATGTTACAACTCACACTGATTATTTAATTGTTAACAGTCCCTTTAAAGGGACTATAAGCATGATTTCAAGTGACCTCCATTCAAAGATGGCAATGCCCGATTCATGCTTGATCAGACACTGCCTTTTAGGGTACCATTGTAAACTGAACATTTACATTTTTACAATGGAGGGTAATTTAAAATTATGCTTTAATTAATAGTAATCTTGTTATAGGTTTGCTGATGACACATACACAGAGTCCTATATTTCTACTACTGGAGTAGAATTCAAGATTAGGACAAGAGAACTCGACGGGAAGACAATTAAACTCCAGATTTGGGACACTGCAGGACAGGAGAGGTTTGGGTAATCACATCTTTAGGACATTGGTTAATTGATATAAAATTATTGGTTTTAATTAACTTGATTAGTCCAAATATTGATAAAATATCATTTCTAATTTTTAAGTTTGTTTTTCTTAGTGAACATGGTGGAATGAATTCTGTGAAAATAAAATCTAATAAAAATTATTAAAAAATTTCATTTTTCAGCATAAATTTTATCTGGATAAAGAAGGAAATTTAGAACCTATGGCTTTTTAAAGAAATCAATCAAATATCTACACATTTTATGTTTTGGGAGAGTGATTATTTTTCAAGAAAATATATACCCATGTTCATATGTTGTTGTTTTATTTAGAACTATTACCTCCAGCTACTACCATGGAGCACACGGAATTATTGTTGTGTATGACGTAACGGATCAGAAATCCTTCAATAATGTCAAGCAGTGGCTACAGGTTAGAACCTTTTTACCCTTTATGGTTAAGCCTGCCTTGTAGCCCCTAGATGCAGATCTGGGATCCGCTCTTAATAAAGAAGAATCTCGATCCAGATCATGAACATTTGTGATTTTCTTGTTCAAAAAAAAAAATTCTAATTTTGCTTCTTTGTTTTTTTACTTATTTTTAGGCTAGTACTTATGCCATTTCAGAGCTTAGGACATTTTTTAAAATATCTCTTTATTCTACTCTTGAGATTTAGGTTTTAAAACTTTACCCCTTTGATACGACTCCGTGGATCTGGATTTAGATCCTCTATGAAGTAGTAAAAATACTGATTCAACCGATCTGGATCCTTAGCACTGGTTTTCCGATTCAAACTATATTTTAGTAAATACTGGGATCAACATGGGATGAGGCCCTAAAACTGGTAAAATCCTGGGTTGAAATGATGCAGGCTTATATCACTTTTAACTCTAGCTAGTTAAGACGTCGCCTCAAGCCCTCTCTCTCCCAATGTTTTGACAAAGAAGCATTTTTTAATATTTTGAAGGAAAATGTTCTGAAATTTGCTCCTTAATACTTATTATTACTATACTGTTGTTTTTCATTGTATGTTTTTATGTTCCTAGAGACAGAATATTAATTGATTAAATTTGTTAGTCTTCATCAACCCTTTACATAAATTGTTGAAATAGTAATAATTGATATATTTATTTTATAGGTTCATAGGTTTTTGATTCCTAGTTTATTACTGGGATGAATTGATGGTTGATTGATTGATTGATTGATTGATTGATTGATTTGATTTGATTGATTGATCAGGAGATTGACCGGTATGCTAGTGAGGATGTGAACAAAATGCTGGTTGGAAACAAATGTGATCTCACTAATAAGAAGGTAAACTCAAGGGTGGGGTAAATTGGGGGATCCCCTCCCCCCAGGATCAATTTTCTTTTTGTCTCTCTTCCCCGACCTTTTTCAGGTTTATAACATCAAAATGAGCAAAAGATATTAAATTTCTTTAATCTTCCCACCTTTTATACAACACCCCTCCTCAGGTGTAATGTGGGAAGACTTGCATTACAAAATTTTAAACTGAATGCCATTATTCACCAGTGCTTTTTGTTGCTATGGAAGTGGGTATGCGAGTATATAGTTGGGCATTGCTACTAATCCATTGTTTAACATTCAGAGTTTAAGGGCTTTCAGGAGACTCTTGATCTATTAAATTCTGCTAAAGTTGACTATAGCAACTAAAATAATCACCAAAAATTTTTTTTTTATCAATCATCCGTCAGAGTCAAACCCTTAATAATATCATATAAGCATGTTTATGATCAGTTCTGAGGATCCATTTAATGCCCAATTCACAACAGTACTCTTGAACCCTTTATCTGATCAATAATGTGGAAGATTTTGTCGGTTTTAGGGTTAAAATAGTTTGATTCTGATTCTTAAGTTTTCCTAGGCTGTAGTAGAAATACCCAGGTCATTTGTGTAGAAAAATTTATCAATCTTGTCAAAATTATAAACATAGATTTCTAATGAATACCTGAGCTGGGAACTTTAGAATGGATAAACTTTAATCCTGACTTCTTGATCCAAATATGCACTATGGAAACTTTTCATTTTAGTCCTAATCCACTCTTTTTCTCTCTCCTTGGATATCCGTTAATTGTTTTTCTCCAATGAGAATATTTCTGTTCTCTCATTGGTTGCCCGCTTTTCTCTGATTGGCTGCTACAGTTTCTCAGATGATTAAATATTAATTTGAATTTTATCTTTTTTCATACACTTTTAAGATAATCTTGCAAGATTATCTTAATCTTGAGATTATCAAAAAGAGAGGATCAAGCCTTAATCCCGATATCCACCATTCTAAAGTTTTCAGCTCTGATCTTACAAAGTTTTTATGGGTACTGTTGTGAATTGGGAATTGCTATCTTCGAAATTCGTTTTAATGAAAAAATTTAACTTGACTATTCTTGTTTAGGTTGTTGATTACTCCTCTGCCAAGGAGTACGCTGACCAGCTTGGAATACCTTTCTTGGAAACCTCGGTAAGCCCCCCCCCCTTTGAATACATTTTAAACTAGCTGAATTCCCCTTGCGTTGTCTGTGGAATTTTTAATTACAAAAACAATTTTTGAACGAAAAATTTCGAAATTTTTAAGTTATGTTTCCATCTGGGTACCCATAGGTCAGGATCCCTCAATAAAATCAGCCCATTCGATCCAGCAAAAATGCACATTAAGGAGTGTCGATTGGAAATTAAAAAAAAAGTAGAAGAAAAATGTGTATTAATCCTAATGCAAAGTTTAAAAATCAAAGCTCAACTTCAAAATTGTTTCCCTTTTTGACTTTGAATTGCTAATAAAAGTAGCCAAAATCTGACCATTTTCTGTAAACAATGAAGGAGTACAAATAAGATGTTTTAAAGAAAAGATAAGTTTCACACTAAAAACTTCAAGAACATTTAAATTTTTTCTCAGTTGATATTTTAACCTTCTAATATTGTATTTCTGCCAGAAATAGGTAAATTATGATTTTCTAGTCTAATTGAACAGTTTAAATTCTTTTCCTAACAAATTGTTCAATCAGCCTATAGTCATTATAAAAGCAAACATCCAAGCTTCATGAATGATTTGTTTCTTGTTCTCATAGAAGTTCACCTGGACTATAAATCAAATTTTACATCAAATTCCCACTTTTAAAATTTTTCTGTTTGACTGAACATTTTCTCAATAAAATTGATAAGTTCATTTGGCTTAATTTAAAGGCTTCAATATATTTGGATTCATTCAAATAGTTTATTACTCGTTTAACCCCCCTAAAATATGCTGCAGTAGAAATCCCTGTAAAATTAAAGATGTGAATTCCAAAATTTCTATAAAACCTTCAACTGCATACATGCTCAGGAGAAAACATAATTGTTTCGAGAAAATGTATTATCCTGTTGCATGGGTCACTCGACATAATAAAATACTTCTAAAAGAAATTATTCTAGTAATTGTATTTTTAATTTCTGCTTTTATAAAATTTTAATTTTAATGTGTACATATTTGATTTCTTCAGAATGAAGTTTTTTTCTTTATCTAATATGTATTTAGACCATAAAATCTTTGTTGGGGTTTAATAGGGGTTATTATTTATTTTTTATTCCCCCCCCCTCCCCCATTCAGTTGAGTATACCTCCTTCAATTATGAACCCCTATGGTTAGATGTCCTGTATTTCCTCATTATCTTCTTTTATTATGAGTGCATGGAACAGGTTTAATTTCAATTAATTGTTCAAGTTCAAATATATTTTCATATTATTAAACGTTGTGGGTAATTAGGTAATTGGGTGATTGGGCTTTAAGGGACTGTGAACACATTTTTAGGGGACTCTTTTTTCCATAACGTTACTTGGCCATTTCAAACTGATCCCTTTAAACTGTTGTTAGACTTAAAGTACAGCCCCTTGATGAAAGGTGTTATTGAACTGTTTAATAACTTACTTAAGAAACTCATGACCCCACAACGAATCATTTATTTAAACTAAAAGCCAAAACTTAATTGATCTAATCAGGGATATAATTTAATGAATTTGAACTGCCAGTAGGTAGATCAGCGTCGGAGCTCAAATTAATTAAATTCGTTCACAGAGAAATGCTTTTTTTAATTTATTGGAGAAATAAACCAAATCACTTGCCGGGTTTCTTTAAGAAAATCGTGTTATCTAGGTTAAATTTGCATAATTCACATTTTAAAAAATTGTTTAAAATATTCTGAATTCCAAGTTTTACAATCTGCGAAGTAGAAATATCTGCGTCAATCAGTGCGTAACTGCTTTTTCTTCTAGTTTTTGCGTATTTGGCATACTAGGTCAAAGATACAGACTGTTAACACAAAGACGGGTTTTGTGTAATTAACGTATTCGAGAGGGAGGGGTGGGGGGTATTCCTCCGTATTTATTAATTATTTTTATTACTTACATTCATTCAGTGCTTAACGTATTTTTGAAAATATTTAAGTGCCAGCGAGAAAAAACATTCATAGTTCATAGTTAAAGTTATAAGAAAATATATATCGAAATATCTGTCATAAAACACTGAACTCAGAAACGTTAAAAATTATGGCAAACAAATTTTAATATTTCCCAAAACAATTTTTAATTATTTTTTAATTTTAGGCTAAAAACGCGACTAATGTAGAGCAGGCGTTTATGACCATGGCCGCCGAGATCAAGAATAGGGTTGGACCCGCAGCAGCTAACCAGGCCGGATCCGCAGGTTAGTTACTGGGTGGGGTAGCTTGGGGGCGGGCCACTATGGATTGTAAGTTCATGCACAATAAAAAGGGAGAGGTGTCACAGTTTTAACGAATTTGTGTATGCTTCAAAAAAATAGATTTTTCTTGTGTTCATGATATTATTTGATTTTAAATTCAAATCTTTCTTTTTTACCAGACTTTTCCAATATTGATGAAAATTGAAAATATTTGTTTTTTTTCAGGAGTAAAAATAGATTCTAAACCTGTTGAAGCTAAGTCAAGTGGAGGATGCTGTTAGGTATTAATTAAATATTTTATTTTCTCATTTTCTCAACTCTTGTCAGTAGTTTTAATTTATATTTGTTTTTGTTAACTGATAGTCTGATTTCTGATTTATGCCCAAGGTCTTTAATTTTTAATTTTTTATTATCGTCATTTTTTGTATTATGGGCCCCCTTGGTAAATTTGTTTTATTTGTATATTGATCTTTTTCAATTTATTTTTGTCCTCTTTGTTTTCCTATTTTTACTTATTAAATCTTGTAAAACAGAAGGACTCTACCCACAGGTGCTTAGGATCCATTTAATTTTGATCCGGATCCTGGATCGATACGGATCCAAATCCAGATCCAGGTTATTTCTGTAAGATTTACTGATTTGAAAAAAAATCAATTTTTTTTCGTTTAGTTTTTTCGCTTATTTTTTCTTACAGTCTTGATTCTGTGCCACTTGTAAATTGTTTCTTCCTTTGCCAAATCAATAGTAAATCACTTTCAAGCTATATCTAAGGCAACAGATCAAATTCAAAATTCAGATATATCAATATTTAACAGCTTGTAGTACATTGTACTGCTCATTGTATACAATGCAGTACACTTAAAACTCTTTGTACACAACGATTCTTGTCAGCAGAGCAGTACACTTTACTACTTGTAAGCATTGAAGTACACTGTTCTCCCTGTACACACTGAAGTACACTATACTTCCTGTACACACTGCAGTACACTGTACTGCACCTTGTAACCATCCCAGTTTCGTGTCCAATTGTGATTCCCCAGAATGATTCCAATATGTATTATATCTGTAATATTTCGACTTATTTAATATTTTCTCCTATTGTGGGAGTTCTTTGGGTTCATTTTCTTCCTGCTTCTTTTTTTCCAACCCCGATGCCGTGTGAATGAATATTTTGTGCATTTTAACTATTTTTTAAAATTTATCCAATTTATCGTGTTTAAATAAAAAGAAGATTTATTCACAATTTTACTAAGTTAGTACTAGGAATATATAGAATAGAAATATGTCCTCTGTTTCTGTTTTTTATAATAAATTACATGCTATTATTTTGATTTTTGATTTTGAGAGAGTTTATTAAATAAGGTGGTCGAGTTTTTTGTTTAAAATTTCAATATTGTCAACTGGTATGTTGAAGTCCTTTCCTGATCATGTATTGCAATTTAAAAGATTTTGTACAAATTTGCGAGAAAAAGAGTTCAAAGGAAACTCAAAAATTTAATTTTTCTTGACAACAACTCTAATTTTTAGCAGGGATTTACAATTCGAAAAACTCGTTCAGTTTTTGAGCTCGTAAGTATTCTTAGATAAGGGGTATATGTTTGATGCTGTGGGGGACAAAATGAAAAATTGGACAATAAAGCAAGTTTTTAATATTTTTTCCCCAACAAAAAATGTTCTCTTAAAATTGTTATTTCTCCCAATTCAGTGAATAAAATCATTAAACAACTTTTTCCTTGATTATCTTTTAGAATCAATTGTGAAATTTTTATAAAAAGTTATTTCAAAATAATCCAATTTGCTTGTTTGGGGGGATGGGAGAAAAAAAATTTCAGATAATTCAAATGTACCCCCTCCCCCTCCCCCTCGGAAAGATTGTAAACCGCCCCTGTTTGTTCGGGCATGAGGCGTAGCTTGCCCGAGGGGGGGTAGATAAAACTCCTAAATTGATTATTTGGCCGCAGCGCCGGCTCCCTAGCCTGTGCTAGCCGCGGCGCTCGGCCCCCTAGCCTGTGCTAGCCGCAGCGCTCGGCCCCCTAGCCGCAGCGCTCGGCCCAGAAATAGTCTTAACCTAACCTAACCCTCAATAATAGGAGTTTTATCTATCCCCCCCTCGGGCAAGCTACGCCTCATGCCGTTTGTTCGGCTCAAACTTAAAACCAAATAAATGCATTTGTGTACTAAACACAAAATCAAAATAAAGCATTAAAAATGTGTGTTTGGTGCATACATATAATTTTAGATTAGGAGAATTCAATAAAAATTGTTGCATTCCAAAAAAAACTTTCTTAAAAGGAATTTATCATTGTTCAGCAGAAACGACATTGCGAAATCTATCTTTTTGCATGCATAAATGCTAATTTCCATGCCAGATAGCTGTTGAACTTAATTTATCCTTTGTACTTAATTTGAGGCTGAGGGCTTAGCCCCCCCCTCATTTCGTGGGACACCCTGTACGTCCCATGAAATAGTAAATAGTTTAGAATGTCTTCTTCCATAATTTGTTAAGTTGTTTAATACCAACGATAATAATAAAAATATCATATAGGAGTCATAGTAAAATTAACTTCAAAGTAAAATATACATGAGCAAAACATTTTTTAAACGAAATAAACTGCAAACAGCCTTTAATATCTAATACAGAGTATGGAAGACGACATTTACCAACTGTCATGTTTCGTGGGACACCCTTTATATTGTTAATTTTAGCTCTAAAATAACTGATAAAAATCTTTATCTTATTAAAAGAAGGGAAAAGATAATTTTCTCTATTCTCCAAATGTTAGAAATGTTTTTCAAGTTATAATACAATTAAAATTAACAAAGCATTTAATGCAGACAATTTTTATAATTTTTGAAAAATATCTATATTTCTTCCCTATTTTAACCCTTTTTTGACTTTTCGTTTCCAATTTTTAATTTTTCCTTCTCTTCTTTTTTTGTCTCAGATATCGTGCCCCCCCTGATTTGTAAGAGGGGGAACGTGCCCCCTGTGCCCCCCTCGCTACGGGCCTGAAGCATTAAAAGGCTAGATAATAAGAATGTCTTCCATAATAGTATTACGCATGCGTATGTTTACGTATCAGCTGATTTTTCATAAGATCTATCTATCATTTAGTTGCAGAGCGAGAAAGACGGAGAACAGAGAATATTTTTACACTTTGCATATTGTATTCCTGCAGGCCTAGTGTAAAGACAGTTTAAGGGAAAGGGGGGATGGGAGGGGGGAAAGGCCCCACACTGAGTTTTAAGGCATCTTTCAGCAGCTGATCACGTTTTGCAGTTAGACCAGTGAATGTGTATTTGTGACAGCTAAGCAAATTCTGCATCAACTGTTGAGACCGGGTTAAAATGATCAGGTGTCGCCAGGCCATGGAAGTGTGCATGTTTAGTTGACAGTATTGTCGGGTGCAGCTATGGTATAGGTGTACACTGTACAGTTATAGTCCTTCCTTCTACTTTGTGTTTTAATAGATATATCGAATTAGGGTGTGTCAATATGAAAAGGTCAGTAGATGTAATTTTAAGTGATCCTCCAGACGCACCCCGAACCCTTTAGTAAAAGTAAATTCAACCTATAGCCTGACCGCGTCAACCTTGATGCACCGGCTAGTCCTATTGAGTGTCTGCTTTATTTACCAAATGTCCAGGCGATACAGTACAAACTGGGACCGGAAAGGTTGACCCGACTCGGAAATTCGAATGTACTACGGCTGCCCGTGTCCAGACTCCTGTCTGAAGTCTCAAAAACAAATTGATTATTTTCAAATGTGGTTTTAAGTAAGTGATTTGTGGATCCATTAGGAGTTGATTTATTTGATTAAAAACTTTTCAAGTGAGACAAACGACGGACGATATCTCTAACTCAACGGATTAAAATTCTTGGTACATTGCTGAAGGAACGTACTTAGGAATTTGTCCAGGGAGCTTTTTGCTCAAAGTTTTTTTCTTTTTTTTCTGGGGGGTGGGCTCATTTTAGCTCATCTTTGCAGTCTTCTCATCGTTTTCGGGTAACCCTGTAGATATAGTTATCAAGTTTGATAAGGGTTAAACTGTCCAAGAGTACATTCAACTCAACGCAAACACACACACAGAACATACACACACTCACACGCAATACCCACAAAAACCCAGAGCCCAAAACTTAAGACAAGGTATCGTTCTGAAAACCAGTTTTAAAACACGGGTTTCACGAATGGGGTCAGGCAGTTATGTAAAAAATCAATATTTTTGTTATGAACTATTATTTTATTCAGTTTGTTTATATTCTCAATTTTGTTTCGAATCTCTTAAATCAAAATGTACACAAATGTTAAGTTCCCAAAAAAGAAACTCGGGAGTTTTGTCCAACGATACTCATTTAGATTTTGGGCTCCGTACTCACACACAAACACAGTACATTTCCTAATAGACTGGAGACAGCTTGTATTCTCTTTCAGGGTCAAAATTTGGCATAATTTAAGAATTTTTTCAAAATTTTTATTCTAAATATTTGACTGCCTTTAACTTTTTTTTACTTTTACAGAAGATAAAAGAAAAAAACGGCCCAAAAATATCAAAAAACGGCCCAAAGATATCAAAAAACGGCCCAAAAATATCAAAAAAAACGGCCCAAAAAATATTTTTAAAAAATGATGCAAAAACAAACGTGTTGTTACGATTGTGTTTAATCGTTTTTCCATTTTTAACTTTTTTTTTTATATGATAAAGATTTTAAGTTTAATAAAAGCAAAGTTTAATATAAAGCAGTTTTTAAATCTCATGGAAGTCAAGTATTATTGAATTGTTTCTTTAAACTATCCAATACTAGACAGAGGGAGAAGATAAACTTGTTGAAATTCAGTAAGTTTTAAACATTTATTAAAATAAATTGTGTAACATAAAATGGTTTAAAATATCTCAGAGTAGACTTAAGCAAACTTAGTTATGAAAGAGTTTGCTGGGTTTTAAACAATGAATTATATATAAACAATGAGCAGCAATAAAATTAGATATATTTAAAACAACTTGAATGTGAAATAAATTGTGTATCATAAAATGGTTTAAACTATCAGAGGGAGAAGGTAAAGTTTGCGCCGCATCATTGGTAAGAACAAGGTTGTAATGCAAGGAAAGTTATTTCAGAGGTGTACGCATCTTTTGTACTGCAGTGTACTGTGCATTGCCAAAATTACGTTCTCAATAAAATACGTCTAAATAGTCCCTTTAAAATCAGCTGTTCAGAGCCTAAAGGAATTGGGTTTTTGTCACAAACTCGAATTTTCTCATTTCTATCATAGTTAGACATATCTAAGGTCTAGAACATTGAGTTCCAAAGATATAAGGATTGAAAATCAGAGTTTGTGGCAAAAACTCAATTCTTTTTATCAGTTTTTTTGTATTTTAAATTTCAGATAAAATGGTTTAGTTTATTGGGAATGGTAATGCTCTCCCTCCCCTGTCCCCTCCCTCTAATTTATATATTTAGGTAATTATAATTATCAAATACATTCATAGTATTTTTATAAATTTCGAAGAAAACCTTGCCTTAATATTTTAGGGATTTTATGCGTTTCTTTTAAATAGATTATATTCTATGTGTTTTTTATTAATAAGCATTTTTCACTGCCAAAATAAATATTTTGCAAATTTCTCGATGTTTTGCGTGAGTTGCCATATTTAAGAATACAAACTAAATATATAAAGATTAAGAAAGTAATTACTCGTTTCAAATTTGCTAAATTTTATCTTGTTGCAATTCTTGATTCCGTAAAACTTTTGTATTTTAAACAAAGTTTATAATATTAACCATCAGGCTGTAAATACATAGAGATTATAAAAATTCGAATTTGAAAGGAGTGATCAGTTTTTTAAATGTAACTTAAATATTCTTATTAAAATTCTTATTTTCAGTTTGGTTTTCTCTCCCTCCATTGTGCTAGGGAAAAATCAATACAAATATTTTCATATTTTTAAAAAGAAATAAAAGCATGACGGAACTTTTAAATTCCTTCAATAAACACTAATCTTTACCTTTTGAGGTTCAAAGGATTAAAGTAATTCCTTCTGGATGTTTTATAACTTTTAGATAGCTCTGAACTAAAGATAAAGTTTTTTTTAAAGATTAAGCTTACAAAATTCCCAGCTATTGCTGATTTAAAAACAAAAGAATACAATAAATTAGTTTTAAATAAAAATATTACATTTAGCTTTTTTTCAAAATTATTATTATTATCATCAGTATTATCATTATTGTTATTTTAGTTGCTGTGGACTCAACTCTGTTCAATAGATACGAAAATGATGAAGGTTTAACTCTTTAAAATTCTAGAAATCAAAAATCTTAAAAAAATGATTTATTGACCAAAATTTAAACTGTTTAACATATTGAGGTAAATAGTAAAAATGTGAATGACATGAAACGAAAAATATTATTATCCGGCTGGAGTATCTAAAGTTTCTAGGGTATCTAGAGTATCCAGAGTATCTAGAGTATCATAGAGTATCTAGAGTATCTAGAGTATCTAGAGTATCTGGAGTATCTGGAGTATCTAGAGTATCTTGAGTATCTAGAGTATCTAGAGTATCTTAACTATCTAGAGTATCTAGAGTTTCTAAACTTTGTAAGTATGTATATTTTCAAAACCAATTAATTGAACTTTTTTTAGACAAAGTCAAAGAGGTCGCTTCAAATTTAGGTATTTTGGATAAAAAATAGAAAAATATGAAATATTAACTATATACGAATGCGTCGAAAAAAATCGATGACTATTGTTTATAATATCTGAATGATTTGTTCGGAATTAAACTATTTTTTTTTACAATCCGAGTTGAATGTTGCAACTTTCTGAATTTGTATGGATGCTATGTTCTTCAGCATGAGTCGTTTTTAACAATTTTCTCCTCATAGACGTAACAGATAGAAGTAAGATTAGTAGCGATCAAAAGCGCCTATTTTTTGCCACAAGCCTATACCCCCTTTTATTTTTCGCGAACACTCTTTAAAGGGTACTATCGTGAGACATAATTGTTGCCTTTAAGTTTATTTTCTTTTTCTTAATTCGTCTGTTTCTTGCATTTCTTTTAAATGTTTGTTTACATTATCTAAAAGTTTGTTTACATTATCTGAAATGTTTTTTATATTATCTGAAATGTTTGCTTACATTATTTGAAATGTTTGTTTATATTATTTGAAATGTTTGTTTTCATTGTCTGACATGTTTGTTTACATTATTTGAAATGTTTGTTTACATTGTCTGAAATGTTTGTTTACATTATTTGAAATGTTTGTTTACATTATCTAAAATGTTTGTTTACATTATCTGAAATGCTTGTTTACATCATTTGAAATGTTTGTTTACATTATTTAAAATGTTTGTTTACATTTTCCAAAATTTTTGTTTACATTATCTGAAATGTTTGTTTACATTATCTAAAATGTTTGTTTACATTATGTAAAATGTTTATTTACATTATCTGACACGTTTGTTTACATTATCTAAAATGAAACCAGTTTCTGGAGTGAACAGTCTGTATCATTCAACATTGTTTACTGGGGAGTACTCACACTTCTTCTTCAGGTAATTAAAGGGAGTGTTCGCTCATAAAATGAAATTAAAAATTTTAATCTAAACTGAATCGGGACCAAATTATTAGTGGCAAATTACATGGCCCTAGGGAAGGTAAATGGCCGTTGAAAGGCCTATAAAAATATGTTGATGTCTAAATTTTATGGAAATCCATCAATGGTTACAGATAAGTTTTAGTCTTACAATGTATAGGAAAAATGGCGGCTTGAAAGCTACATTTAAAACCTAAAAATGTTATTGTAAAAGGAGGCTGAGAAACATATTTAATGATATGTGGGGAACAGCTTTAATAAAATTCTTTTCAAGGATACGTTAAATAGAAACCATTTAATATATGGCACACTAGCTGAAGTGCCCGG